TTTTTTTTTAAGTTTATTTCGGATAAGATTTTTAACCCATTTAAAATAAAGAATAAAAAAATAAAATAGTTTTAATTTCGGATAGGATTTTTAACCAATCTCGTCACGCCACGTGTCATTATCTGAACGTACTATTTTGTGAATAGATTTCCGATATTATTTTCAACCAATCCCGACACGCCACGTGTCACTTCCATGGTACAATAATTTAGCCAAGATTTCGATAAGATTTTCAACCAATCACGTCATGCCACGTGTCATTATCCGAACGTACTATTTTGTGGATAGATTTTCGATAATATTCTCGACCAATCCTGACACGCCACGTGTCACTTCCGGTTTAAAATACAATAATTTAGCCAAGATTTCGATAAGATTTTCAACCAATCACGTAGTGCCACGTGGTATTGTCCAGAACCTCATCCTTTCTTTTTTTGTCCATATAAACCCTACATCCCTACATCCATCCTCACACCAAGCTCAATCCTTCTTTTTAGCTCAGAATCCTTGTTCATCATTTTCAAATCTTGAGTTCTTATTACAATGTCTTCTTCAAGAAGGTTGTATAAGCAGTTGCAAGAGCAACAACAAAGGTTGTTGGCACAACAGGCAGAATTGGCCAATCTCGAGGAAGGTGGAGGTGGAGATGAGGCTTTCTTCATGGAGGAGGATGAGGATGATCACCATAGAAGGCAGAAGGCCTCACATTCCCGCCGTGTGTCATGGAAGCCGTGGGTCAGATAGCCAAACCAAGACGTGTTGCAAACCTCGATAGAAAAAGGGAAAAACGAGGTAAAAATCTATTGGAAGATTATTTATTCCCAATAGCATATTCCCTGATCATGTTTTTAGACGGCGTTTTAGAATGCAACGACATTTGTTCAACAAAATCATGAGTGATATTTGCAACCATGATTCATACTTTGTGCAAAAAGAGGATGCTTTTCATGTTCTAGGTCTTATTCCCGAGCAAAAAATTACGGCATCCTTGCGAATGCTTGCATATGGAGCATCTGCAGATCAAGTGGATGAGATCGCGAGGATGGGAAAAACAACTGTTCTGGAGTCCCTGATGCGGTTTTGCTCTGCAATTGAAGCCCTCTACACCAAAGAGTACCTCCGGACACCCACGTCAAGGGACATGCGAAGGCTTCTGAGGAAGGGTGAGATGCGAGGCTTCCCTGGCATGATTGGAAGCATCGACTGCATGCACTGGACTTGGAAAAACTGTCCAAGTGCGTGGCAAGGAGCATATGGCGACAGAAAAGGAGCCAAAAGCATCATTTTGGAAGCGGTGGCTTCATTTGATACATGGATTTGGCATGCTTTTTTTGGTGTTCCAGGAGCTCAAAATGACCTAAATGTCCTTGCCCAATCCCCAGTGTTCGACGAACTGCTGCAAGGAAACTCGCCGAGATGCACACATATTGGGTTAATGGTACCCAATACGAGGGATCATACTACCTTGCAGATGGCATTTACCCAAGGTGGTCAACATTTGTCAAAACAGTGCCACATCCACAGACTGAAAAGGAAAAACACTTTGCAAAATGTCAAGAAGGGTGTAGGAAGGATGTCGAGCGTTGTTTTGGTATCCTGCAAGCTCGTTGGGCGATTGTCAGGGCTGCAGCTAGAATGTTTGATGTCGAGGCTCTTCGATCCATCATGATGACGTGTATTATTCTCCATAACATGATTGTTGAAGATGAGTATGATTATATGATGCCGTCGATGAATATGAGCCAGATCCGATGAACAACTCAAGAACACGTATTTATTGTGCTCATGATGGGACCGAAGATCCAGTGCAACACGAGCCGTTGGAACGTGATGGACGTTACAATGAATTGATCGTTCAGCGGTACACTAATGTGCAAGAGCCATACTGGCACGTAAACCCGCCAGAATGACTTGATTGAGCACCAGTGGGGATTGCATGGAGGCGAAGATAATTAGAATGAGGCTTGTGGTTGAAGAATAAATTGTATTTTTTTTAAGTTTAAGTAATTCTATGTAGTGTGTTTTGTTTTTAAGTTTATTTGGTGAGTTTATGTAATTCTATGTAGTGTGTTTTGTTTTTAAGTTTATTTGGTGAGTTTATGTAATTCTATGTAATGTGTTTTGTTTTTAAATTTATTTGGTGAGTTTATGTAATCTTATTTCATGTGTTTAAATAAAGTACAAAAGAAATTAAATAAATAATTACATTAAAATTGCATAAGAAATTAAAATAAAGTTCAAACCTAAAAAAAAGAAAAAACATAAGAAATTAAATAAAGTTCTACTAGAAAAAAAAAGAAAGAAAATACATAAAAATACATAAGAAATTAAATAAAGTCTCTCGAGTTAGGATATGTGGTGCTAGGATCTTGGTTGCCATGATTTGTGTAGCTAGAACCCCCTTGACTTGTTTCCGCATCTCTTGCACGCCTCCTACGCATGGCATCTCTTTTTTCCGATGTCCAAAAATATTTAGAATTCGGAGACAGTCCTACTAGAGACTTGCTCATAGTGTCACGATCTGCTTGAGCCATCCTTTCTTCTCGAAGCAATTCATTTTCTCGATGAAGTGCTTCTCTAACCAGCTCGTTCTCTCGATTAACTACTTCTCTTTGTCTTTCAGCCGCCGCATCACGGGCCTCAGTAGCTGCTAATATTGCTGCCATAGCAGCAACTTTTTCCTCATCTCTAGCCTTTTCTCGTGCCAAGTTTAGTTCACCTTGGCGAGCAAGTTCCTCCATATATTTAGTGTAGTCATTTTTGGAAGAACTACCTTTTTTCTTTGACGCCTTTTTACCTAGAGGCCTTAGGGACTGACGAGTCGGTTGGGTCTCGGGCACTTGTTCAGCCGTCCTTTCCGTGTCTTGAAATGTGTCGGCTTCTTGTTCGGCCATGTTTGGTTCTGGAGAACTATGTAGACCCATACCGTGCATGACAACTTCTGGACCAGTTGCCACAATTTTGTATTTAGGGCAATCTTTGACAATTTGCCAACATTCCAATCTATTAAATGATTTGTTCCCGTTCTTTGAATTGTAGAATGCTTGAGCTTGTAGTGTCTATAAAAAAGTGGGATAACATAGTGTTAAAAAATGCGGGTGTAACACAAATAAATAAATTCAAAATATTAATACGGGTGGAATGCATATAAATTACATAAAAATGACATAAGAAATTAAATAAAAATGACATAAGAAATTAAATAAAAATTACATAAGAAATTAAATAAAAATTACATAAGAAATAAGATAAAAATTACATACGAAATTAAATAAATCAAAATATTAATGTGAGTGGAATGCATATAAATAAATAAAAATATTGTCACCTGATCCGCTAAACTTGTCCCACTACGGAGGTTACCGGAAGCATGAGAGATGGCGTTTTTCCAACAAGTAAATGATGCGTTGAGTTTTTTCCAACGACCTTGAAGACCTTGACTAGTTCTGGCGTTTTCTCCATGTACATCACAAAACGCTTTCGTAATTTTACTTCACATCTCTCGCTTATCCATCTCATTACCCGTAATCGGATCATGAGTAGTGTGAACCCAACATTCACACAACGTAACATCTTCAATGAGCTTCCACGAAGACATTTTTTTCTCTTATAGGTGTAGAAAATATTGAAATGTAGATAGTATAGAAAGTGTAGAAAATATTGGAATGTGGTGTAAAGGTAGAAGATGAGGGTTAGGTATTATATAGGAAAAAAAAATTAACATTTTTCAAAATTTTCTGTAATTTTTTTTAAAATTTTCTGTATTTTTTAATAATTTTCTTATATTTTTTAATAATTTTTAATGAATTTTAATATAGTTAATTAATCTGGACCGTTGGATTTGAAAAATATTCAAAATCCAAGAGCTAGGGAGTTGCCACGTGGCCAACGGTCATATTTCTGACCGTTGGGCCCTTTTTTTTTTTTTTTAATTTACTTTTTGTGAAAAAAAACGTGGACCGTTGATCTTTGATCCGACGGTCTAGTTTAAAAGTAAAATTTAAAATTTTTTTACCGTTGGAAATCCAACGGTCTAGAAAACTAGCCGTTGGAAATCCAACGGCAGAGAGGTAGCCACGTCGCAACTCGGGGGGGGGACTGACAGCGCCTGCACGCGGGCCCCGGCGTCTGAAAGCTTGTCGGGCACTCGCCAAACGGCTGCGTGAAGTGCACGCGCCAGGCTTCTTCCCCGGCTTCTGTCTCAGTCTCTTTTGGGCTGGGCTCTTGCCCAGCTCGGGCTGGGTACCAGTCAGTTTGTTGGGGTGGACTTGATTGACAGAGGCCTGGCTTGGTTTTTGGACTGGAGGCTGGGACATTTGGACAGGGGTGGAATTGCTCTTATGATGAGGTTGAGTCCATAGTAAATGTATGGACTCAATGAAATAATCAATTAGAATTTAACATTTAATAAAGTTATGCGATTTTGGTTTCGATGCAGTTTTCAAAAGCCAAAACCAAAACCAAAACCAAACCGATTCCTACTTTGCGGTTCGGTTTCAAAACCGCAAAATCAAACTGTTCAGTGTGTTTCCATTTGGTTCGTGTTTCGTTTCCAAGTGCCCCTACTTCAAATCTACATTGTTAATACTTTTACAAAAATTATTTTGTTTCGTTAGTTCCATAGGAACGACTCTCTAATATGTTTGTGTTGACAACCAAACACTCTTTTTAATTTCAAAAACGCTTTTATACAATGCAAAAGCACTTAGTTGTCTGTCAACTAGTTCCTTATAAAAACGGTACTGAAAAGTACCACAAACAAAAAGCGTTGGTAAGTAAAAGTGCCTAATAAAGTTGCACTTCCGAACGAGCCCTTAATCTAATATAGTCCTGTATAATAGCTCCAAGGATGTGTCATTTGTTACATCTGCTGCTGAATTTAGGGTAAATTGTGGGAAATGGCCTTGTAGTTGGATTGCACTTTTATTATCCAATCTGTTCATCTGTATATACATAAGTTAGGTTAGTGGATTAAGGTAGTTTGCCCGCTTCCTTACACCTAAGTTTGAACCACTCCTCGGCAAATTAGAGTAGGAAATTTGTCGCTGGACAAGTTTTCCAGTTTAAAAGACATTGTGAAGATACAACAACACTGGCTTTCTCAAACAAGAAATTCTGAGAATTATACAGCAGAACCTTAATAAAGCAATTCAGAAACAGCTGTTGAGATCACGGTTAATGGTTGAACTGACTTGCACCTGGTCGGTACTCTCCGATTCCTAGCAGATCCTGCAAATGTGAAGGTACATAATTCGAACTTTCAACGGAAATTTCACCGGACTCTTCCAACAGGCGGCTGAGCGCCCCAAATACAAATTACAAACATTGCAACATAACTTCTAAAGGGAAAGTACAAATGCATTAAAAGAAAAATAACATCAGGGTTAAATTTTAGGCATGAGGACCCTAGGAATCAAAGATACAATGATCAAGATCTAACGGTTAAAAACTCCGGAATAGAATACTCTGGAGCACCATAGAATTTTCGGAGAAGTCTACTCTATAGTATTTTATGAAGCTTTCTCTTTTGATGTATGGATTAGCAAACAAAGCTTGGAAGCACTTACAAAAGATAGCACATGCGTGGTTATGACACTTTAAACTAGATTATCTGACTCTCTGATGCTATGTGCCTTGGACACTACTCCAAACCCGACAAGAAATCTGTGTATTTGGTCATCTTCCCAGTGGAAGCCCTCGCCATTTATCAAAATTAAAAGAAAATCAAATCCTCACTCAGCATATGAAAAGCAAGCTCCAGCAAAATTTGAGAATCAGTTCTATGAAAGCACACATTGAGTCCCAAACTTTAACAGGTTATCACAGATTAATAGCAGGTACTTGGAAATCTTACGGGGTTCAGAAAAAAAACCTTTAGTTATGTGATATAAGCCTCTAAATCACAAAATTTGGAGCCAAACACAACGATTTCGACGGTGTTAGACAATATTTACGTACACTTTAGATTTTTCACAATCTTGTCTAACTTGTCACAATAAGATCAACTAAAAAAAAGGTAAACATATAAGAGTCTAATCATCTAATCTAAGTGAGCTGAGGTGATAGGAGCTAACTTCCTAGCCGTGTACCAGATGAGATGAGTATTCTATGCTAAGCTGGGGTTAAAACTAGCATAGAATTGTATTTAAATGAAGCTGCCAAAACATGCCAAAGGAATACAGAAAAAGAGAGAAAATTTTACCTGGGATGCTTTGCTTTTAGCCCTGGTCTCCGCTGTGCTCGGAATGTCATGATTTGGTTTATTGAATCTCTTCTCACGCCGATCGCATGCACCCCATCCATCTGAGAACCTACCGCCCCTAGTGACAAAGGAAGGAGGGAAAATAGCAACCATAATAAGGTATGACAATCATGATATAGGAATTGCATTACTATCTTAAATGCAAAAGCTCCCAAGATCCAAAATTCATACTGCATGTGTGCCCGAACTACAAATTCGGCCCGGAGAACATTTCGATTCTCATCAAATTCAATGGTCTTGTCTTTGATCTCAAAAGAGAGATTGAAGTAAAATGATATCTTCCTCCAACCTGTACACGCATTCAAGAATCACATCTCATTTTCACCTAGAATTCCCGCTTGATTTGAAACAAAAAACAGCTCTGTAAATCTACTTACCTGACTTTTTAATGAAAGGATGCCCAGAAATCATGGTGTAATCTGTTTTCTCCAAAATCTATCAGTTTAAATCATACAAACACGGCAAACTAATTAGGCCCTTGAGTCTTCGACACTCGAAACTAGCTAGTGAATTAAGATTTCCCCAATTTCATAGCTTAATCTTTATATAAGGTAACAAAATTAAAAAGAAAAAGCATTAAGATTCGACTGAAATTGCGCAAAAGAAACACAAATTCGGTCAAAACTATCTACAGAATCCAAATTTCCCAAATTTTACAGCTTAATCATATAGTTAAGTAGGAAAATTTAAGAAATTAAAATACAGTAAAACCCAGAACTGAAAAATTCAATCATCTAAGCAAAATTACCGCCATAGCTGCATTCTGATACTCCTTAAACAGAGAGACCGAAGGGAACCTCCCGGACATGCTATGAACAGCTACAGAGCTGTTATCCCTCTCCCCTCTCTGCGCATAGTTCACAGGGCTCGCAAAATTCCCGATCCCCGGCGACAAGTGCGTTTCCGGCGACGAATAAAACGGAGTCGTAGGAGTGGTAGGCGTCGTGCGCTGCACATTTCGAACTACGACCAGAGGACTCGTGTCGTTGACTTCGGAAAAAGAGGACCTCGCGATCTTCCTCGGGGGGTGAAACGCCCAGGGTTCCTCGACGACCTCGCCCTCTGATGCGGTTGACTTGGAGTCGGAGTCGACGGAGGAGTCGAGCCTTGCGGCGGTCTTGAACAGCTTGGGCGGAGGATAAGGGTTTGAGACTGGGGAGCAGCGAGGGTAGTTTGGGTATTTGATAGCGAGGGGCCTGCGGGGTTGGGGTTTGGATTTGGAGGAGGAGTGGGAGGCGGCGGCGGAGTCAATGACGGCCCACAGAGCGGCGTCTTCTAGGTCATTGTCGTCCACGACGGGATGGAAGGTCGGGGAGGCCATGGGTGAAGGATTTGCTGCGGAGGAGGAAGAAGAGTCGGCTCACAATTGAGATCTTAGAGCGCGGGAATTCAAATTGGGGACGATGGGGAGCGATGGTCTGCAGGCCGGACTTCACACTGTAAGATGAGGCCTAGCATTGGGCCCAAGTTGATTAGATACAAAGAAAATAAGGGATCTCTTACGAATTCAATTGTTTGTTACAAACGATATTTTAAATTTAGAGCTTGTTTGAAATTTCTTTTAATATGGTCAAAAGCATTTTTTGTTAAATTTTTTTTAAAATCAATCTTTAGTAAAAATGCAAGTGAATCTTGAAAAGCACTAGAAGTGCTTCCTACAAAAGGTACATAATTGATCCTTCTTACATGAAACATTTTAAGCGCTTTTGAAACTCAGAAATATTTTCTCTAAAAGAATTTTCGGTCATTTTAAAAACACTTCTAAACGAACCCTTAAGCTATAGTTAGTAAAATTTGGAATTGATATAGTATGTGAAAAATATGTATGCATGTTATTCAACAATTTTGGTAATAAAAAAATGAAAATTAGGCCTTTCTTAAAATTTTAAAATTTAATTATGTACAATATTTATTTCTATTTCTTCAATATTACGTTATAAAAATGTATAGAAAACACAAATTATATGTATTATTAAAAAAATGTGTGGAAATCAACGTGTATTGGACGAGAAAAATAGTAGTTAAAAATAAAAAAACAAAATTGTGGGTTTTAGTAGAAAGCATAATTTTGATAACATTTTCTTTCAAATAATACTTCTATAAACTTTTTATTCATCACAAAAGTTTTAAAAAAGTTTTAAAAAATTTATAAGTTAGACCGTGGATGAACTCAAATAAGGTTGGGGTTTAACTTCAATAAATCTCATCAAAAATAAAAAATAGAGTGGACTGTGTTTCTATTTCTAATTGTTTTTGGAATGGTTAAAATGATTCTAAACAATTAAAATTATTTCTAAATACGTTTGGTAGAACAACTTAAAAATGCTTTGACAAGTTTCAAATAAAGACACTTCTAGTTAGGGCTGCAGCTTGATTGTGGTTGAATGATCGCCACTAAATTTAATATTAAAATGGAGTTAGTGATGGATAGGGTTTGAGACTACAAATTCAAGCCGACTAATCAAAGCCCTTCAGTCATTATACTTAGATAATGTTATGAAAGGTGTTGGCTGTTGGACTTTGGTGTAATATGTGCATTAGTTGATTTAAGCTACAATCGAATTGGGTTGGGTTAGGAATCGGTGACAAATGATTAACTCAACTCAATCCAATAATGGTCGGGTTGACATCGGGTTGGGTTTGGGTAGGTTATGTTTAAGAAAAAATATGGTCATTTGAGTTTAAAGTCGTGTTGGACATATACACGTTCAAGTTGACCTAACTCAGAATGCACCCCTACTTCTAGCAAAAGTGTTTCCATTTTAATATCTATACACAAACTACGCGTGTCATCGACTCCACTGCATTTGTAACAAACTAGAAGAGGTTGTTTGGTTCGGGGGAAGCTTGAGCATGAGGATTAATCAGACGGAGACTTCTTCTTAGGCGAGCGGGTTGCTCCAGAGATATGCTTCAACAAAAGGGTCAAATGAAGTGAGAAACAATATGTTCTCATATATCACTTATACTTGCTGGCATATATGGAAAGCTAGGTGTAATTTGCAATTCAACCAGCAACTAATTCATCCTAGGCAGGTTATATTGGCCATCTCTTTGTCGGTCTCTACATTCAAAGAAGCCAATGGTGTTTTTCTCACTTTGCCACCACCTAGTGTGCTGGAATCGTTGGTTGATGTTCGTTGGTCTCCTCCGTGTCCGGGTTTGGTTAAGATAAATGTGGATGCTAGCTGGGGATCTTGTGATGGTCAGGGATTTACGAGGAATTGTGGCTTGGGATGAGGAATGAATGTTTCTTGCAGCTTGTAGATCAGGTGTGAAGGCTACTAGTCTGGCTTTAGGAAGGGCATTGGCAATCTTGCACGGGTGTATGCTTGGTAAGAGGATGGGCTGGAATTGGATTATTATGGAGTCTGACTCGTTGGAATCGATTTCTTGCCTTAGGGACATGGCTAAGAAAGGCAGTTGGGATGCCTTCCCCTCTATACTAAAGTGTTGTAGATTGGGAAAGGAGTTTCTTGAATGCTGCTGGTCTTAGGTTTTAAGACCGGCCAATTCGGCAGTGGACCATTTGGCGTCGCGAAGTTGTAGGGAAGTATGTGATCATGTATGGGTCGATAGACCCCCATCTTCCTTGGTTCATGTTTTGTGTAACGATGGTCTACCTTGTCCCCCCTAAGTGTTTGTGGTAGTGCGTGGAAGGACACTCTAGCATTAGATGCAACGTCGTGATAACTCTGTGACCTCCTCGCACTACTCTTTTCTAGTAGTTATTGGATGTTTGCCTCGGTGTAGGCTCTCTTTGTACTGCTTTGGCATCTTTGCCCAGTTACTGATATTTCCTGATTACCAAAAAAAAAAAAAAAAACTAGAAAATTTGAAATATAAGAGTCTAGTGTTTTGAGATCCTTAACCTTTGAAATGTCGTGTTGTGATTTGCTCAAAACGTTGAAACGGAGTGCAAGCTTCCACTCCGCTGTCGTCTTTGAGATTCACAGTTTCCTTGTCCAAATCCATAAGGACCTTCAATTTGTTGATCAGCCACTCAAAATCTCTGACATCTTTCATCTGCGACCTCGTTGCCATCTCCGGAACCTTCTTCGCACAGCTGAGCTTGGCAGAGACATAAGAGAGCTGAGCTGATTCTAAGTAATCTTCGAGCTTCATTGCCGTTCTCAGCTTGAATTGCGTAGAGTTGCGAGCCTTGAGGTATCCCTAAACATCTCCCCTGCAAAAAAATTATGTAGTCAGAGATTCAAATTGATGAAATCAATCGAAGAATTTTGAAATTGTATATGTGAGAGAGATGTATAAGGACTATGGGGACAAGGTGGAGGAGATCGGTAGCGAAAAAATGGAGGAGGAAGACGATCGAACGAGGCGTTTTTAAATGTCTTGGACGGTGGCGAGAGGGCTCGAAGTTGAAGTTTTGGCTTTCTTGCTTTCTGCCATATTTTTGCGCACAGTGTTTGAGTTTAAGCATGTTGAACACATGAATGTTTGGCCCGCTTTTCAGTTTAATATAACGTGATTAGGCGTGTACAAATCAAAATGGGTTAACTAGAAGTTGTAATAGTTGCTCGTACAAACGTCTTAATCAAAATCGTCAAGTTGCACTATGTTTACATTTTAGGAAGGTGGATTCACGTTCTTCGTAAAAACGTCATAATTAGTATTGTTCAGTTGCACTAATCTTCACTTTTCTGTAAAAAGATATTCTACTACATTCCTCTTATAAACGTGATAATCAGCATCGTTCATTCGTTTCATCATCGTCTAAAGCCAGTAAAATGTATCATTAAGAAAAATAATTTACCAAACTTGTGATAATGGTTAGCTTTGACATTTACAAGAAAATACCGTTCTTGTTTTTTGGCCTGATACAACAAAAATAATAGGCTTACAGCTTACAAAGTGCCCATTATGTAGAAAGGGATGATGAGGTCTAACTTACAAAAATTTCTGATGAAGGGTAACAAGCTTTGACATTTACAACAAAAATACTAATGTGCAATTTGATCACCATCAATTTTCTGACTATGTATGTATCCATGACAAGTGAGAAGCTTGTTCATAGACGAAATTTAATACAAGCGATTCTTGTGATTGGAGACTTGAGACCTTGCAGACTAAATTTGTTTCCATTTAAGGAGAGAAAATTATGATCCTATCTTCACCAGCACATAACCAATTAAGTAGGGCCTCCAAAAATATTGTTCTGCATCTTTCGCGGTAGCCCGAAATTTTGGTATGCTCTGATTTCGCCTTCCAGAGTGGCTGTCACAATTACTAAACCCCAAGCTGTTGCTTGTGTTGTTTGGCTAGCATGGCTGTTGCCTATATTGTCGAGCCATGACCAAGAGGAAGACCAAGATGATGTGGAGGCACTACCAGCAGACATAGAACTTGAATCACCATACCTAATAGAGGAAGGGTCTGAATTAAACGACTCTCCAATCCCGGATTCTGTTCGAGAGATTTGAGCAGGATCTTGGTCTTCCGGCGGAGGAGTTGAAGGTGTTTGATCTGATGCATCTCCCTTATTGGTTGTGGTGTTGCTGTCTTTGTTGTTTTTCTTTGGGAGAGGCGGTAGCATTCTCTTACTTACACCTGCATCTTCTTGAGTAGGGGATGCATTGCCGGATTGCGGCTGTAGCGTTGAGCGTTTTGAGTTTCTCTTGGAATGTTGCACGGAGACAGGTGGAGGGTCGCCCTTTATGGTGCCTGGCCATGGTATTGCTGCTGAAACATCTTTGCACTGAAAATGCTCGTGGGAATTGGTACTGATAATGCTCTTTTTACCCGTGGCTGAGATTCGGGGTTCTTCACGCTTCCAAACATATACATGGGAGTCTTCACTAGCACATACAACATATTTTCCGTTTGGAGTGAATGAAGCTGCAATTTGACTGCTTGTATTTCGGAAACCTGTCAAATTACATCTTGGGTATTTATTTAGAGAATTGTAAAGCAGAAGTGAAAGGCTCTGAGCATTGGATGAGCTCTGGATACCTCTAAACTTATGAGTCACGTTTGTGCCATCCAAAATTCGAATCCGGGAATCAGCAGAGGTAACAAGCATTTCAGATGGATTCATTGGCGAAAACTGTTTCCAATGAAAATAAGAGGAGGTAAAAAGCACTTGAGATGGTTTTACAGGCACCAAAGTATTCGATTAGAGAATGAAGTATAGTTGCATTACCTGCAAACCTGTAATCTTTTTGGCTTGATTCTTCTTCTTGTTCTGAATATCAATATGATTATGCTGACTTAATTTACAATCTGAATTATGAAACAACATGAGGTTTATCAATTATTATTGATTGTCTTAATTCACATTTACGGAAAAGAAAAAAAAAAAAAGTAGAAAGAGCAACTTGTACCTTCTGCACTATACATATGACAGTTTCCTTTGTGCGAACCAATGAGGGAAGCCTATAGGGATGAC